TTAACCTATTTAGTGATGTAAGAGTATAAGATTATATCACATGACACAATCTTAGAGTACCAAGACATCAAAATGAACAAAAATCCACATTTAACCTCTTTAGTGATGTAAGACTATAAGATTATATCACATGACACAATCTTAGAGTACCAAGACATCAAAATGAACAAAAATCCAAATTTAGGGACTAATATGAAAGAAATTAACAAGGACCGTTATGGGAAAAATTATCACATCAGAACTTAACTTATGCCACCTTACCAAAAGCTGTATAAATTTATATGACTTCTCTCTTTTTGGCATGGTAATCAAGTCATAATTAAAAGTTCGGTCGATGATTTTTATAAAAAGTATATATACTTTTTTTATATTAAAAGTGAATAAAATGATTTTATAAATTAAATAAATTTTTGGAATATGTATGCTTGGTAAATCATGAAAGCAACACACACAAAATGTATAGAAACTAAAACAAACCTGTTTTTCCAAATTGATAAGCAATATGGCATGTTCCAAAAGGCATGAGCACCTTTTGTTTCAACCTCCTCAACTCAGGCTTGTACACCCAATGATCCCCTTCTTTCCTCAACAGGTCATCGCATCTGAATATCTCCGGCATCGGCCCACAATTGCCGACGAACACCGCGTATCTCATGGCCCTACCGGTCCTTTCCAAAAGAGTGGCCACCACAAGGTTCACTTGTAACCTAAACACATCCCTCATACCTGCCTTAATTGTCCACCCTTCACACGGTACCCTAGCCACCACGACGTCGAGGTCTCGGTTCTCCTCCGCCGGCCGTGGCATGGGGATCTCCGGACACGTTGGCGGGAGAGAGTCGAGATCTTCATTGATCCAAACTGGGGAAAAATCCTCCCATTTCCTTGCCTTAGACACGATCAAAATGTACGTGAACAATACTAACAATCAAACCATGTCCATGAACTTTAAGTTGACTATCTTCTTCCTTATTGAAATTAACAAAGCCAATCTTAATCTTCTGATTACCACTAATCTCTTCTTGAATAAGATCAAACCACCTCGGATTCTCAAACACATGATTGGTTCGATCCGTCTCGAGTCTAAGGGAATCGATAACATTATATTTCGATCCGAACAACGAAATGAGAAATAGAAGTGATAAAGAGAGAAGTATAAGGGAGACAGTGAAGAGTTTTTGGTTAGAATGGAGGGTTTTGGCAGCCATTTTTGGTACTTGGGATAAGCTCTTCACGCTGGATTATATATAAGGTAAATACATATTTAAAGGGTTGGTAGTGTTTAGGAATTAGGCAATTATATGGATGTGCATGGGTGCATGGGTGGTAAGTTGTTAACTTTTGAGCACTAATGACGTGTTAAGATTTGATGTATAATTTTTAACAAATATTATCTTATACTCACTTTAAGGTATTAAAAAATCGATGTATAATAACTATATTTACATTATCGATGTAGAATCTATGTATTTGACCTAAAAAAATTAACGAAATGATCCGTTTTTGTTAAAATTTTGACAGCAAATAATGTGACAGTTAATAAAATTAACGTAATAATAAATTTAAGGATAAACTATGCATTTAGTACCTAAACTATTAGTTTTGATACGTTTTAGTACCTAAATTTTTAATTTTTTTTAAAATCATACCTAATGTTTAGTTTTTGTTTCATTTTAGTATCATGTCGTTAAAAATTTAACGTGTTTAGTACTTAAACTATCAGTTTTGGTCAATGTTAGTACCTTTAACTTTCACTTTAAAAAAACTTAATGTTAAATTTTTAACAAATGTACTAAAATGAAATAAAAATTAAACTTTAAGTATGATTTTAAAAAATGAAAGTTTAAGTACTAAAATAGATCAAAACTGATAGTTTATATACTAAATGTATAATTTACCCTAAATTTAACCCTCAAATTCTACATTTTATTATAATTTCGTCTTGTAGGCGTCTACTTGATTAGTAAACTCACAAAGATCTAACCCTCCTACGACCGGAACAAACAATTTTGGCTCGTATTGCCTCATTGCTAATAATAGGGCAAATTCACTTCTGCCTCAAACCCTAATACCCAAAGCTAAGAGGTCTATTATTTTCCTGATGTTGGGATGAGTTGGGTTTAATTGTTGAACATTATGCTAAGCAACTCCTTCACCATCACATTTTTATTTGATTTGGTCTTTAACGTGGACGAACGCAAGAATTTTTGTCAGTTGTACGAACTTAAGAAATTATATTAAAGTTTTACGAGGTATAAAATTATAAAACTTCCGAAATTACGAAATAAGATAAAAAGGTAGATGGATTTGGGAATTTTGAGTACTTTTTTTTTATGGCTATAAAAAGTTTCCAGTTGATCTAAGATTTTCAGCTTGGACCGTGAGAATCGAATAGATCTCGACTCCTATAGAAAAAATAGGATAAACTATTTATTTAGTCACTCAATTTTAATTTTATTTCTGTTTGATTATTCAATCTTAATTTTTTTTAAATTTTATTATTCAAATTTTTATTTTTATTTTCTTCACCTAACCGTTAATTGTGTAATGGCAACCGGCAAGCAGCAAGATATTGCATTTTGGACAGATTTAGTTATGAAAATATGCTAATTATATTTTACCCAATTTTATCAAAATTGAATGTTCTCACGTTTCAAAATTTAATTTTATCAAGGCGTATTTTTATCAATGTTACAAAAAGGTGTCATAATAGTTGATGAAATTAAAATCTAGTCCCAAATTGAGAAAAAATGTCAGCTTGGGAGAAAATGTTAAATATGAGGACCAATTTAGTAATTAAACTTTTTTTTCTAAGTCAAGATTTAATTGCGGGAATAACAGAAATTTAACTGGAGCGACCAATTTGTTTGATACGAATTATATAGGAGCTGTTTTACTCATTTTTTTAATAAAGAGACCAAAATGTAATTTACCGTTTTTTGAATAAATCTAGGGCCAATATAAGATTGTATATGTTTAAATATTTTTAATATTTTGACAATGAACCCGAGATCTCAAAAAATAACAAGTCTCTTAATCACTAAAATTTTTTGATTTGTGCATGTAAATTCATCACTTGCTATAAGTACTTTTGTGAAACTATTACCATTAATTGAAGGTCAAACCGTAAGTTTGATATTGTTTTTGAAAAATAGGTTTGAAAAATGATGTTAGAAAATATTTTTAAAAATAATTTCTAAAAGTTAAGTTTAAGATTTTAGTGTTTGATATTATAATTTTAAAATATTTTAATGAGATGAAATGTTCTTTTTAAACATTATAACACAAATATAATTATAATAAAAAAATTCTTCAGAAAACATATATAATTAATACATATTTTATAAAAGCAATTAAATTTTAATTTTTTTCTAGTTAAAGGAGTAGAACCCATACATCACAGTAAGGGTAAAAGTATAACTTTGTTTTTAAATGAAAATTTTAATTGAAAAAATTAGAAAATTCAATTTTTACGGTTAATTTTAAAAAAATCTAAATGTATTTTTACTTTTAATTTTATCGGTTTGGTAATAATTTTATTTTCAAGCATAATTTTTGGATTAAAAGTGCATTTAGACTTAGTACGAACCCCTAATATGATGTTTACTAATAAGAAAACGTTTTAAATATTTTTTAGATGCAAACCATGTGGTTTTGGAAGGAAACTTCCAATGGCCAAGAAAAAAAGGTTGCTTGTTTCTCGGAAAATAATTTTTAAGAATTTTCTGATCTATATGAAAATTTTCACAATCAATCACTTTCTCTCTCATTAATGGCTCAAGATTGGGGTCAATTTTGGTTCCTTGGTAAGGGTGTAAACGAGCCGAGTCGAGATCGAGTATTATTGAGCTCGACTCGAACTTGAAATCCTGAACTGAAGCTCGTGAGCAGCTCGAAAAAGACTCGAAATGAAAAAAAAAAATCTTAAACTTAACTCGATTGAAGCCTCAAACTCGAACATGAACCTTAAATACATGAAATCTTACTATATATTTTTTTAAAAAAAATCAATACATAAATATTAATATTATTATTAATTTATTTTTTTAAATAAAATCTTAATATATTATATTTTCGAACTGCTCATGAGCTTTTTGAGTCGAAAATCGAGTAGCTCGTTTCAGCTCGTTAAGAACTCGAGTCGTGCTCGAGCTCAAGTCGAGTCCATTCGATCCGAGTATTTATCGAGCCTTGATCGAGTCGATCTCGAATAGCTCACGATCTATCTCGTCTCATTTACAGCTCTATTCCTTGAATTTTCAACATTTCATTAACTTATAATTTTTACATATAAATTTATTATTAATTAAATATAATTAATTAATATTTTATATAATCTTGATTATATAAAAAGATAAAAAAATATTAATTTTATTACTTTAATTATAATAACTAATAAAATTATACGGAATGACGCGTTTGATTTTCTAAATAATATTGAAGATTTAAATTATAATATTATGTTTGAATTAGATTAAAAAATCATCTCAGGAAATATTTTTCAGTACCTAGATTAATCAAATAATAAATTAAATATTAATGATTATAAAAAAATTAAATATCAAATGTTGGTAAAATAATAATTAAATTTGAAGTTATACGCCCTTAATCTAACTTTTATTTTTCTTAAAAAAAATAATGTCATACTGATTGACAAATTACAAAAAAAATATTTAGATAACTATAGTTAAAATTAATTATTATAAAGTATAAATCATATATATTTTAGATGAAAATAATTTTAAATAATATATATATTAATTCTAAAGATTTATATAAAATAGAATTTAAAATAAAATAAATTTGCAAGGAACATCCGACTTGACGGCTAATTCGTTAAAAACCAGACAAATGACGTCATCGTTGCCGTTAACATGGACGGAGAAATCCCACGTTTTTTCAAATCCCAATAAAAAACGACAGCGCATCGCGTGTTTTTTTTACTTTTTCCAGCTACCCTTATCGTCTTCTTCCTATATATAATTCAAAAACCAGATCAGATGATTCCGTAGATTGATTTTCCAATTTACGGGAAAAGTTGTTTAAATAAAGAAGAAATTTTTTATTCTTTCAGATGGCTGTTGATTTAGAGTCTTTATCCGAGGCTACTTCGGGTGCTTTAGGGTCATTGTTAAGCACCACGATCTTGTATCCTCTTGATACCTGTAAAACCAAGTACCAAGCCGAAGTTCAAACCCATGGTCAACGAAAATACAGGTAAACCCAATTCTTTTTTTTTTCAAGTTATACTTCTTTTTATTGTTTCTAAATTCTGGGTTTGTTTTGTTTTGTTGTGATCATGATCCGGTTGTTATTTTATGTGTGAATTTGTTATGAATTGAGTCTCTTTTTTAATATGCCTTCAGCTTTTTTTTATTGGTTATGGTGGTTGAAAAGAATGAGTCTTCTGTGAAAGAGAACAGGCATAGAGTAAAAGAGTAATTTACTATCCATTGATGATCTAGAATTGTGATTTGCTTATTTGTTAAAGTGAATGTAGTCCTAGCATAACGAGTCATGTTAATTGAATTGGATCATGTAAGTTATAATGTTAATTTCGTTTTCGGGTTTTGTTATGCCCGTCTTACCCTTTTTTTGGGTTGATGTGGAAAATTAGTGCCTGCAGCTTGATAGGATTATAACGGAGTTCTATTCTGATCGAACTCTTCAGAGCTAGTCAGTGATGAGTGAGGAAGGAGAGAGTTAGGATGTTAGTAGAGGAATAAACTTTCGGTATCCTTATCGTACATGATTACATAACTATAGTAGATTTTACCGTATTCGTAACATATGTGATTACATTACCGTAGTACCTTTCAGTATAATAATCTATACAAAGTCATCTGAGATCATCTGAGATCATCTGATCAATAGTTACCATGAATTTCAAACAGCCTTTTTACCTTGTAGATTTTGATTTTTCTACGAGCTTGCGCATAAACTAGATTTTCTTCACTTCCCTTTCCCATTCTTGTAATATGTTTTCCTTTTAGACCATATGTTTGGAAAAGGAAGATACTTGTTCCCTTTTTATTGATGTTGTGCTGCCCCTGTTGCCAATGCACTAAGTTCTTCCATTGAGCTTCTCTGTTTTTGACCTCATTTTCTTATCTCATACAGGAGCCTTTCAGACGTACTTTGGGAAGCGGTATCTACCGGCCGAGTTCTTTCTTTATACCAAGGTTTAGGCACAAAAAACCTACAGTCATTCATTGCACAGTTTATCTATTTCTATGGATATAGCTACTTCAAAAGACTGTATCTAGAAAAGAGCAATTGCAAGTCGATTGGAACGAAAGCAAACTTGATTCTTGCTGCAGCGGCAGGGGCTTGTACTGCTATTGTCACTCAGGTGAGACATCGTTTGGCAAGTCAATTATGTTTTTGGTTTGAATATATTAAATGCTTTTATCTTTCCAAGAAAAAAGGCTGCAGTTCTACTTCAAATCCCTAATCGGATTGTATATAGAGATTGAACTGTAGGATGCTTTGGAACAATATGGATTACTCAACCCCCCATGTTCAGTTAGAAATTACCATCATCTATGATTTACGCTTTTTCTCGGAGGTGTTTGACGTTAGCTGCAATGACAAATTAAACATGAGTAGAATATGCTATACTGAAATTAAAAATGTCGATTTTGATTATGGAGTTTGATGTTAAATACCTAGTTTATCACTTTGTAGCCCCTGGATACAGCCTCCTCAAGGATGCAAACCAGTGCGTTTGGAAAATCGAAAGGGCTCTGGAAGACCCTCTCAGAGGGCACCTTGAGTGATGCATTCGATGGCCTTGGCATATCACTTTTGCTTACCTCCAACCCTTCAATTCAGGTGCTTGCATATACTGCTATTTTCGGTTCTTACTATCAAATATCGATTGTTTAGTTCCTGCCCTCGTAACTAAAGCTAGAATTATGGTAAACTGCAGTTTACAGTTTTTGATCAGCTGAAACAAAGACTACTTAAGCAAAAATTGAAGGAAGCAGAGCATGGTTCGTCCCCGGTAGTTCTATCTGCCTTCACAGCTTTCCTGTTAGGTGCGGTTTCGAAGAGTATCGCTACTATTTTGACTTATCCGGCAATCAGGTAAATAGCCGCTCTCCCATATTGCGACATCGTAGAAGCATGCACTAGAGTTGAATTTTACTGAAGTAATGTGTTCATCTGCTCAATGCAGGTGCAAGGTAATGATCCAAGCCGCAGATCCAGACGACGACGACAATGATAAAACCAAGAGAGCTCAACAAAAACCACGGAAAACAGTGTTGGATGTTGTTCGTACTATTTGGAAAAGGGAGGGGATTTCCGGCTTTTTCAAGGGATTAGAGGCTCAAATCACGAAGACCGTGTTAAGCTCCGCTTTGCTTCTGATGATCAAAGAGAAAATCTCAGCCACAGCCTGGGTTCTTATACTTGCTCTCCAAAGATATCTATTTCTTACAAGGGGTAGACTAAAAAATGCATGACATGAACAAATATCAGCTATTACTTGAAAGTCAAGTTAATGATCTGGCTTCATTCGAATACAAACTGTTTGTAGTTTATGGGACTAAGGTTCGGATTCTTTGAAACGTAGCTGCAGCAACATCGATGCTCTTTCAGGTAAACCAACCAGAGCTGATCTCTTTTTTCTGAGTGTCAATTCTGAAAAAAGTCGATAGATAAACCAAAACAATCAAAACTCCAAACAATCTTAAACTGGAACTTACTATAACTTTTTTATTGACGTTATTTGTTGTGCAATACATATAATTTTTTTCTTTTTCGAACATAACAAATGTGTCTGTAGTGTGTACATGTTGATATAAATTAAGAAATATTTTAAACGTATATTATCTTATAATTATATCAGACCGATCAAAATATATATATAATAATAATAGAGCTACGCAATCCAGTTAACTAACTAAAACCAAGACATATATTAAAAATATATATTTGATATATTTTTTTAGTGTCTAAACTATCTCAAAATACAATTTAGTGCTTAAACAACTTTTTGCTAACAATAGGTGTCTAACGTTTTTAATGTTATACTTTTAGGTGTTTGGACCGTAAAGGTTATTAAAATTTGGTTATTATCTAACAAGTGTCATGCACACAATTTTTTAAAAATTATTTTATCTAAAAAACTTAGTATTATAATTAAAAAAACCAAAAAAAAACCCCTAACTTTTATATCTTCAGCTGTCGATCAATCACTGTCGGTCCGTGATTGTCGGTGTAGTGATACCATCAGAACCGTCTCGCAGCCGTCATCGTGAACCTGCGCCGATCATCTTGAAAAATACCATAAAGATCGTCAGATTTCTAAAATTTGTTGTTGTTGTTGTTTTTTGACGATTTCAATGACTACAATTGTTTGTATGTTATGTTGTTGTCATCATTGAGTTCCTCGTCTTGCTCCGAATAAAACCCAGCCGATGGTGACCCTTTACCGTTGGCAGTGGGGATGGGAGGGAGAGGGACGACGCAGTGGTTTTATTTTTTGTTTTTTTTTAAATAATAATTTTATTATTGAAAAATTAAAGAATTAAAAAATATAAGGATAGACACATAAAAGTTTAAAAATATAACAGTAGACACCTAAAAATGTAATGGAGAAAATATTAGATATCTATTTTTAACAAAAAAATTTATAGACCAAATCATATTTTGAAATATAGTTTAAGTACTAAAAACTAAAAAGTGTAATAAGCCTAAAAAATAAAAATTAGATTTAAATTCTAAAATTTTAAAAGTAAATAAAATAAGTTTCTAAAAATGAAAGCAGGGGCTAAATTAAAAGTGTACGAAAAAGAACAGGGCCTTGAATCATATTCTAACCAATAAATAAATAAAAGGCAAAAATACATCCAAGGCTCTCTAACTTTAAAAAAAACAATGTGGCCCTTTATTGGTTTTTTTGTTCAATGTGGCCCTCTAACTCGTAAAAAGAACTCAAAGTGTCCCTTTGACCAACGGTGTCCGTTATTGACCAAGATTCATATCACACTCCTAATTAGCGCTTAACTTTTTCTTAATTTTAATTTCAAAGACTAAATTGAAATTTGATTATAATTTTAGATCCAAATTAGAAAGTTTTCAAAAATTCAGAGGACTTGTGGTGTAATTACTATTTTCCTTTTGTTGGGCATAAAACCCCTTTCTCCCCCCCCCCCACACCCCACAAAAAAAATTCCATTTGTGGAAACTAGATTTTCTATTTCTCTCGTTCCATTTTTGGAAAGTTTTAGCAAAGAATTTTCAATTGTCGTTTCCTCGACAACCGAAGCTCCATTATCGACATCGCCCACACCAAGCTAGGTAAGTGTCTTTTAACGCTTTAAAATAATTTTTAAAAATGTTTAGAAGTTTTGCCACTCATCGCCACCACACGCAACCCCACGCGTCGTTGCTGCGCGTGGGGATCGTCCACCGCCTGGTGAACCGCCTTAAAGCGAGTTATCCCGCCCGCTGACCTGACCCGACCAGCAACTGTATCCGACCCACCCGTACACCCGTTTGGCTCAAACCCAACCCAACCAAACATGTTCGTTTTTGAACCGAATCAAACCTGATTGAGTTGAGCTGAGCTGAGTCGTGTCGCATCAAGTTGTTGACTTTGACTGTTGACCGTCGACATTGACTTTGATCGTTGATCGGTTTTGACTTTTATAAAATCTCCCTCCAAACGTTTTTCGATGTCCTGAGTCCGATTTTACGGCCTATTTTACCAAATTCTGAACCGAAAGCCATGAATCGAGGCCATTAATTTCAAAATACTTAGTGTTTTTAGCATTTCTACACTTTTATTCAATATTTGATTATGAAATTAATCAGAGCTATATTTTTTATAAAGGTACGTGAGATACCCCTAATCGAGAGCCGTCTAGATATGACACTACCAGCCGCGCAGATTCGTCCGATCTAAGTTCTACGAGAGCTACTTGTAGATTTCTGTAAACTATTTGATTAAAGTTTATTACTTATTTTATTAGGATTTTGATTTCAATTATTTCGATTCATAGGATCTAGCACTGTTACTGACCGTGATAGGCAGACCCGAGAGTAGGTGACCGTCTTAGACTGATATTTATCCAGTTTTGTATCTCTGTATATTTCTACACGCCTCTTCTATTATATTTTGGGTGACACGTGCTTTATTACTGCCTACATATTTTTATTACCGATATTTTGTATCCCTATGTCGTTATCACTGTATATTTACCGCATGAATTCTTATGATTGTTATTTTCAATATTTTAATGTTATATGGTCCTTATTTATTGAAATAGATTTGGTTTGAATTTTAAATATGATAAGAACTTCTGGATACGACATGTTACCATCTCGATTCGATTGTAACTCCCAAGCCGGGTCTAAGGTTTTACATTTGGTGGTATCAGAACTTTCGATTTTAAACACTCAAGATGTGGATGAGTCCTAAATACCGTATTTTCAAAGATTTTATGATATTTTCAAATATCATGTTACCTTACACACAGAGTATTTAAATAAATACAAGATTTCTGATGCTAGTCTAACTTTCATCTCCCGGAAATCTTTCACTTTGTCCCTTGAGAACTCGTCTTTTGCTTTTCATGCATGATTGAAAATTTTCGACGTTATGCAGATATGGATACTCCTAAATATCTTTATTCCAGCAATGGTAAGTTCTGTGAATGATAAGCTTGTTTGTCTGCCAGTTTCTCATTTTATCTTTCGGAGTCGCAAAATCTTTTGCTGTAAGTTGATGAATGGTGTCATCAACTTGGACATGCTGATAATATTATTAAAGTTGATGAACTGATTTATGCCTAATTTAAGCTGAGGTATTAAATTTCAGATTTCAGCATAGTAGAGGGACTAAAACCAAATTAGAGTAGAATTCCCTGCAGAAGATGATTCACCCACCATATTGGCGGATTGAAGAAGGCGGAACATGAGTAAACATTTGGGTATTTAGGGTTAATAATAGTAAAAAGTGCCTCAATACTCAACAGCTTTGAATCCAATAATTCAACACTGATTAAAAGGTTTGTTTGTGGACAAGTTAATTGAGCAGCACAAGCAATGGTCAACTGCACATCATTTCATGCATTGGACCCCATTGGAAAAAAGGAATTTGGAAGTGTCCTTAAATGATGTTTTCTCATGAATTTTGTTTCCATGCTCACCCTTTGAGTCAAAACATGTGGGCTTATCCTCTCTCATTTTGGGGTCTCGGTAGTTGTACAGTACGGCATCTTAATATAAGACGCTATCGATTTTGTTATTGTTTAAATATTAAAACTAGTAAAAAAATTACCGGTAATATTATTATTTTTACCTAAACCATCATTTTTTTAATATTTTCAGTCATTATTTAGCGCCTAGTAATTTTTCTGGTCATTTTTTAACACTTAATAATGTTTCTGGACATTTTTTCGAAAATTTGATTAAAACACTCAATAATAACAAAACCGGTTATTTTTTAGCGTTTAATAATGTTTCCGGTAACATCTTTTTTTAACCGTATATTAAGACTGCCGTACGTGATCATTCTCAGTTCTAATAATGTTATAATTAGCATGTTAGGGATACATAGACTTTTGATTCATAAATATCGGATAAAATAACTTTTAATCCTTAAACTTATTAACTTATTATAATTTGGTCTCTAAACCCTTTTCTTCACATTGATCTCGAAATTTCCTTTTTTAATCATTTTGTTAATGCGACACTATTAGATTCTGACTATAACATGAAAAAAGTGGACAAGTAGAAGGACATAAAAGTTTAGGGATTAGATTTGAAAAAATCACCAAATTCAAGGAGTAAAAGTTATTTTGTCCCTCCATGAATATAATCATGCGAAAAATGAATGATAAAAAGGTAGGCTAAAGTAAAGACAAATCTCAACAAGATTATAAAAAAAAAAACAGCTATTTAGCTCCACAAGGAAATCCATGAGAAGATCAAACCTACATTAAAATATTATTAGTTGAAACCTAAACCCCACAGGCTTAACAGCAGAAAAGATGAAGATGCCTTTTTATAAGGTAAAATGTATTGGCTTCTTCAAAAGGCGAAGAACCCAGTTTTTTTAATATAAATACAGAGCTGGTAGCCCTTGAAAACTGCATTAATATGGACATTAGCAAATCCAATAGTTAGAAGACGAGAGATAGGAAGAAAGGGTAAGTGAGAGTCAAATATAAGATCCTCAAAATGAGGCTCTTTTTAGACAAAATATTTGAGTTAGGTGTAGTTTGTTGGAATCTGAGTGACATTAGCTAAGCTTGGCTGGAAATATCATAGTATGAGATTTATATCGTAATCAGGGACGGGTTCATAATTTTATATTACAGAGGGTGTTTATAAAATTTTAGAGTTGAAAACAGATTATCAGTAAAAAAATATAAGAAAAATGCTTTAATTACATTAGAATATGAAATTTTCAAAGGAATCGCTCCGTCAGCCCCTCGGTCTATCTATGGTTAGAATGAACCAGGTGAGTATAGATGACTTCAAACCATTGAACCATTCAAGTATTTTATCAATTTGTTCCTAACATAAATCCTACGTGTATTATTTTCTTACAAGAACCATAACATGTCTATGACATAGTAAGTTGTATTGGCAACTTGGTTAACTTCCCAAGAAAACACTTCATATGCACCATGTTCACATAGGGTACAACTTGGTAATCAAAATTATTAAGAAAAACTGCAGTGGGGCTCCTCCAATGGAGACTGCACAAGCAAAACAAGGTCTGCACATCACTCTCATTGTCAATGCAAGAGAATTTGACCATAAAATATTCACTTTTTTTTAGCTTTTAATCCCTTTATAATACTTCTACCAACTGAAAACTCCCAATCCCATCTCTCTCTCTCTCTCTCTCTCTTGTGCTTTCTTTATAGTCTTCCATCTCCCCTTTTTCAGCAACTTGTGAAACACACACAATGGTCTCAAAGGGTCCTTTAGTAGGTTTCCTTTTGTTGATCTTTCTGAGCTTTTCGGCTCTAAACCATGGTGTCTTGGGAGAAAAGGTTCTTCTAAAGGTTGAAGATGAAGAGGAGACAACAACAACTCAGAGAAGTTGGAAGAATCAGCAAAGTGTGGATAATGGGACAGATGGCTTCTTTGCTACAATTAACAGAGAAGTTCCTTCTTGTCCTGATCCATTACACAACAAGTAGCAATGCCAAGCAACTGATACATCATACACCTTCGAGAAATCTGTATATATTTTACAAAGTTGTTAGAAAACCTTAAGGCTTATTCATTTTTCTTGGACTTATATATTCAAAGCTCTTTTTTAGGAACTCTTATAATCAATGACGTTTTGGTTTGTAGGAGATTTTATATGCATAAAAAGGAATATGAATTTGTTATCATACATTCTTGATCAAACTTTTAATGTGGGTGTTGAAATTGTTGTACAAATGTTGATGTGGATTTATATATTCAATGTTCTTCATGATTTTTTTCATGTAATAGGTTATCTTTCATCAGTTTTAAAAGTTTAAATTAAGGAGAAACATATGGTACGGTGATAAAGTACATTATACTCATTGTATCCGGCTTCAAATCTTGAAAACATTATTCTATAAGATAGTCGGAAACCTCGAACATAAACCGTAAAACGAACAACAGAACTTCAACATATGTGGCACAATATGGCACCTAAATTTTGTATCATTGAAATTATTGATGTTGCACGTACATGAGAAAAGAAAGGCACTGATGAACTATTTTGCCTCTCAACTCTTTATCTCTAAATGTATGGGGTGCTTATTTGATTTCACCCGGTTAACAAATGAATAAGAATACAAGCATATCACCAAAATAGGGCAGGATTTCTACATCATGCTTCTATATAACAGCTCTCTCAAAAAGAATGACAATCAATCTAAATAAATATTTAATAGATATTCGGATTTGATCGGATTAACAACCTTGCACTATATCGGACTCCGGGAAACTCAGACTTCTACATCTTTCTTCCAAGAGTAAAATCCATGTACCAGAGTAACTCTGATTACAATCCAGAAGCCTCGTCCTGGACAGAAAAATGATTTAATGTGATTTATGCCGTGAAACTTTCGGAAAATGTACCTTTGTCGTCTTCTCATGCCATCAACATTTTCAAGCATGTATTTGTGGCAAATTTGGTGGATCACGACTTATTAAATTTGCCCACAAGTTGACAATGGTTACAAAGTAATGCCGTCCATCCCAAAGCACCATTTTCAAGCCTGATACAAGAGAATCGAGATTATTTTAGAGACTGGTGCGAGTGGAGCTAGAAAAGATGGTCCAGATTGTTTTGCTTGGATATATTCCAAGGTAAAGTAAAATGGTATCTTTTAGAATCAGTTATCACACTTCAAAAGATGTTAACTGAGCATGATTATCATGTTGGAACATAAAAGCATGATTATCACAACTTTACCCATATATAGGCCCCACAAGAAACTTAAAAGCAAAGAACATTAACAATGTTTTAGTAAGTTCAAAGATTATGGAACTTAGGTTCAAAAACGTTAAGGACCGTGTTATTTGAGAGGTCGACGTGTATTATACATAAATCTACACTCTTCAAGACCCTATAGAGCAAGCACCTTTGATGACCTACCTACCCTAGCACATGACAACATGAAATGGGTTCTCTCTCTCTTTCCCTTTACATCTTTATCCTAGAGAAAATTTTATACTTGTCCACTTATCTTAAATCCAATAAATTCATACCTGGCACTGCTGCAGCAGTTAAACCTGATAAGCAGCATGTGGGTTCTTGTCCGTAGAAAACTTGTTTATAGAGTTCACGAGCATCAGGATCATGAATAATCCGAATGGAACCAAGTAAACCTTCAACATCGTATTTTAAATCAGTCGAATCAGTCAGGCTTTGAAGGGCATCTTCAAGTCCTGAACTTGACCACACAGTAAAACACTCCCGCACCAGGGCAAGGAAGTTGGTGTGATTTTCAGAACTGAACAATATCCAAGGCTTGTAGAGTTTGGAGGACAAAGATCCGACAATTCTGACAACTCTGAAAATCTCTCCAAGTGCTAGAATGTACTGCCTGCCTGTAAATGACCAAAATATCATGTAAAAAACTTAGATTAATACAACAAAGAGTGCATAAAAAATTTATATGTTCGCTTTTCAAGTAAAGCACCTTGATGTTTAGATAATAATTCATCGTGGATGTTATTTTGTAATGACTGCTTCCAAATCATAGCACCTTGTTTCAGCTCTAGTTCACAAACAGACAAAATCCTCGACCACGTTGCTACATAATTGGATTGATCCTCAATTGACCTCAATTTTAGAATCTTTAATGTTGATGCAGCATGTCCCAAGAGTTCAACTGCTGATGCCACATATTTCTCTGCCTATTGAATTGAAAATACAAGCCGGTGTCATGTCATGTTCGAAGCCATTAATCAGCAAAATAGTCATCAAACATATGGAAACCCTCTAAACAGCATTTCATATTCTGAGATGTTAACTCAGATATAACCATTCATGTCGAGAAATAATAAATTTAAGCACATGAATGTATATGACAAACAGATGAATGGAAGGGAAGTTATGTAGAGCAATTTGATGTTTGGAAAAAACGTCTTATCTCCTGAAAAATAAAAAGGGCCATACACAGATATAGTCCCACCAAATGAGAGTCCTAGAATCCTAGGAGTCGCAATGTAAAAGAATTACACTTTTACATTCCGTTAATGCATCTCTCAAGAATAAAATCAAATCAATTTCTTGAAAATAAGAGCGTATGCCGTATAGCTCCATGAATCAAAGCAAAAGACACAAACCAGTGATAATTTCTCTGATAACTGATATTCTGATTCCAGCACTTGAAACTTTTCTTCTTGTAGAACCTTGGCATATTCACCAAGGTGAATACTTCTTGAACGGAGATTCTCCTTGGCCACTTCTGATATTATGTCATCTTTTTGCAGTTCATTACATAGATCCTACAACCACAGGAAACAGACGAGACTCGGGCATTAAATATTCAATGAACATAAACAACTATACTATCATCCGAGGATAATATATGCCACACAAAGCGGTACCAAGAGAAATGAGCTCCAGAAAGCTTCAACGCCCAAATTTATGCTTTTGGTATGAAGTGAGAAAGGGTCACAAATTTAAGAAATATAAACATAAGGGGTTGAGGGGGGTTATAGACGTTCTCCAGATCTTTTCGCCGAAAACCTTTAAATAAAAGAGAGTGGAAATAACAGACAAGGGGAAGGAACATAGCAAGAATTATAATAAATAACTGCATACCTGGATTTCCTTCTCAATAGCTTTTACTTCACAATCTTCACCCGAAAGAGCAGCAATACTTTTATCTTTCTAATTAAAAACATATTTCAGAAACAAAATACTTTTAAAAACATAATATCAACAAAAAGGAGGCAAGAGAAGAAAATTAAGGACTCTACCAACCTTCATAATGTCAAGATGGCTAAGTGCAACAAAGCACAATTCTGAAGTCAATTTAGAATAAAAATCCACATAATCATTTAGCTTTGTTTTGGTAGAGTACGTTTCGTATGACTCTCCAAAACCAAATGAAGAATTTCGGTTTTCTCCTCTGGTTCCAGAAACGGCATCTTTAAATTCCCATGAATCATCATCAAAATTATTATCGCCATTTGCTAAGTCGGAACCCACCACTATATGAGAGGAAAGAAGTCCATTTTCACTTGGTTCGCTTATCTGATTTAAAGGAGCCTTTTTATCAGCTTGACTATATAAACTTGATATCAGATCATTGATAGATGTATTTGGATGAGTATCCTTAATGTCAGCCCTTAGATTGTCATGTTTAATCGAAATATCTTCATATCTCAATGGATCCTCAGTTTCAACTTCTTCATCACCAAAGATGGACAAGGGAAACGCTCCTTTGGATTTCTTTGAAGCATCCTCATTCCCCTGAGCACATCAAAGGAACAGTAAACGAGAAGAATAAAATTTTCCAATGTGTACCACGAGTAAACTTTCTCTCAATGATAAACAAAATACAATTTATCAAATGAAAAGGCATATTTCATGCAACAGGAATTTAATTCTTAACATGAGATCAAATTATAGAAGTTTAGCACCTCATATTTGATCCACTGATGCCCCTGCCCTGTCAATTTCTTTATGGATGAAAATTTACTCGAGCAATAAAATGAACAAATACCTGGATATGATTGCCAAATGAAAAAACTTCTACCCCAGAAGAGGAAGCATCAGCAACCTTTAGCTCTTCCTACAGATACAAGTACAAAAAATTGAGATTGATAAGGTAGATTGTTTTCAATGGAGAGAGAACAAAGTATCAATCAATTCATCACCTTAGTCTCCGATCCATTTCCAGAAGTTGCATCCTTAAAAGCCCAGGATATTTCGTCAGAACCAATAGTTTTACCAACTGAAGAAGAAATCTCAACATTTTTGGTATCGTTCTGCTTCTTTTGAGATTCAAAACTAGGGGAGAAACTAAATCCTAAGTTCCATTCACCAGATTTATTAGAGATTCCAACTGATGTGCCAAAAAAACTCACTAGAACCATTCACACTATTTCCAAATCCAAAACCAAATTCAGGTCCCTTAGGATTTTCCTGTTCCTGGCCTTCAACCTTCAAAGTAGTAAATGACAGCAGTAGTAAAAACAATAGAGTCCCCGAAAAACTTGTCAATACATATATTAATCAAAGTTAAAAGTACAAAAGAATTGCCTTCATGTATAAACAAGATCCAAATACAAAATTATACATCTCACCCTATATAGCACCAGTAACAACGACAAGGATTTTCTGGCTTATCATAATTGAAAAAGAATTAAATTTTACCTTAGTATCACCAGTTCCAAAGCGTGTCTCAGGCTCCGCAGCCTTGAATTCCCATCTATCATCATCACTAAACTCGTCATTCTCATCAACTACATTAGAGTTCGTACTACTTGCATTCGCAGTTACACCATTAATATTTGAACTCAGCGCAGTGGCATTTGTACCCAACGGATCCCAACTCGAAGAGAGCATATTGAAATTAGAAACCGGCACATTTGGATTACTCTAAAAAAAAAATCAATAAAACACCCGTTAAAAACCTTACTTCCTAAAACAGTCATGTATCTACGAGAGGCCTAAGTATCAAATTTCCATGCCTTCTTCACTTCTTTTTAACAAAACATTAACATTGGAAATGACATGACAATCAAAATAATAAAAGTAATATAAAGTTTACCTTCAAATTTTCAACGGCCATTTCTGCTTTTGGTTCTGCAGCTTTGAATTCCCAACCATCATCGTCCTCCTCATCAACCAAATCAGAATTCCCAACATTCGAATCCAAATTCAATCCTTTCTCACCCAAACCCGACCCATTTAAACCCGAATTCAACCCACTTAACCCCAAATTGGCCTCTTGTCTTTCCATCCCAAATGCATAGCCATTTGAGCCCAATTTTTTTTCTTTTTTAACCGAAGCAGCACCATTTCCACCCAAATCCAATGTATCCATCTTCAGACTCAATCCGTTTATGCCGGAATTCAACCCGTTCCGATTCCAAGTCTCCACCTTCGGATTCAAATCAATTACTGGCTTAACGTCCACACTCGACCGAATCCCATTTGACTCATTCGCCTTCTCATTCTGTTTATACAAATCCCCTATCAACTCATTTAAATCCAATCCTTCTCCTTTCAAATTCCCACCCGTTTTAGGAGACGAAAACGAATTATTTATACCGTAAAGCCCCGCGACCACTGCATAAGATCCCTCATCTTCTTTTTCTTCTTCCCCGAAAATCGATAAGGGTAAAGCTCCAGTCATCTTATCCCATTGTGTTTTCACCGACTCGACTCGGCTCGGAGCCCAGCCAGGCTGAGATGGAAGGGGCGATTTGGGAAAGGGGTCAACTTGAAGATCGTTGATGGGAAGAAATCCGATACGAGGGATATTACTGCCGGAGTTGATGAAATCTCCCAAATCATCGTCGTCGTTGGCTGCGGCGGCGGCCATGGCGGTCTTATTGGCGTGGAAACCAGGACCGTTGATCGAATGTGACGATGAGAAGAACATGAAATCGCCGAATCCAACATCGTCGTCGTTTCCGGCCATAGTTTCAAAGGTTCCAAAGGCACTTTCCTTTCTCCCCTTTTTTTCCCGCGATCTATCGGACCGTCTGAAAATCTCTGATTTTTATTTCGAATCATTTTCAAGGGTGCGTAGGATTAGATTGTGCGCCGCTGTTTGTTTGACTATGAAGGAAACCATTCAACGTTGAGTAGAATTATTTAGCAATGCTGAACCGGTTCATTATTTAGATTGTTTGTTTCTCACGTCTAAATGATTCATCTCACATCTGAATGATTCAGTGTTGATTGATTCAGTAAAACAGTGTTGAATGATTCAGCACAGAAGTACATTCTGAATGATTCAAAGTCATTATCAAATAGCATGTCGCATTCAGAGCTAATTCATACGGAGTCTCTGAATTATTCAGTATTTGAATCATTTAGCGTTTAATCATTCTGAAGTAAACAAACAGCCCCTAACTCAAATTAAAACAAAAAAATGTAAATATTTAATATAATTTTTAAATTTAAAAAAAATATTTTTATTAACGAAAGCAGAGATTAACTATGAAATTGATGTAGCAATTTATGGTGTTAATACATTCACAATACTAATATAATAATTTAAAAAATAGTTATATAAATTTTTATCGAATTTAAGAATCAAATCACGTCATAAAAGAAAAAAATAAAATAAACTATCAAAATATTATCTGAATTAAATTAATTAAATTCAAATAATAAATAAATTGAATTGATAATTTTTAATATTATTTTATAAAAATAGAACTCATATAAAATTAATTTTATTTTTAAATTGAAGTGATCAAGGGGGATATATCTTGAATACAGTAGCACCCTTCGACTTTTGAGAAGCATGGCCCTTTCGGACAACGAGTTGTCCAGCGAAATCCCTGTCGGAATTACCGATCTTTTAGGCTTGAGATCACTCAATCTGCGCAGAACCGTTTGTCGGGAAGGATCCCTAGTATAGGCAATATGGGGACACTAGAATCGTTCGACGTCTCTTTCAACCAACTCTATGGTGCAATCCCTGCAAGTATATCGAACTTGACATTCTTGAGTTATTTGAACGTGGCTTACAACAATTTAATGGGAAAATTCCAACAAGCACTCAAATCCAAAGTTTCGATGCATCAAAGTTTGCCGGTAACGACCTTTGCGGACCTCCACTCAGTGATAACAGCAGCATAAACGCTGTGAAACCTGATGATGCCGGAAATCGCAAGGGATCGGAAGGTGGACTTGAAGTAGATTGGTTTTGGTTTTATGTTAGTGCAGCCCTGAGATTTGTTGTTGCGTTCTGGAGTATTGCAGGGCCTTTGCTGTTTAAGAAATCATGGAGATATGCCTATTTCGAGATGTTGGATAGCTTCAGGACGAAAGCTGGACGGTGTTTCCATAGATAGCTTCGGAATCTAAAGAAATCTGATTGTCTTTGTTTATATGGTGATGGATTGTCCCAGAGTGTTGCAGCTAGTTAGTTGTATTGTATGCTTAAGTTTATACATGAATCAAAATCATATTTAAGACATCTTTTATTACATAATAACATGGTGAAAATGGGATCATCTTCATCTCTTCTTCATTAGCAATTTAGCATCTTTCCGAAACAGCTCGATAATGAAACAACCATCAAGCACCAGGAGCTTTAAGAATTCTTCGTTGCTGAATTCAACCTGACCCCGATAACATTCACGAGAGCCTCCTGCCGGATCTCTATGATAGATTCTTCCAGCTCTACCAATCGAGTTCTCGGATTAGGGCAACAATGAATGAGGCCTTCAAGATACTTCAGTTTGAGTCTTTGTGTGCCTTTTGAGTGTGTTCGGCCGTAGTTCCCAATGGAGAATGCATCAGGAACATAAGCCTGTCTGTTATGCCTGTAAAGTATGTTTGAGGTTTTGAAGATGCATTCAAATCGAAGTCCAGGCCGATGGAGAATGCATCAGGAACTTTTGAGCCTCTTGCAGCTATGTATAAACTCATCATCCAGTTCAAAGTTGAGATTAGAGACTAATGTAAAAAGATCTCCCCAACTGGTAGATAACATGGAGGTTCAAACTGCTTATTTATTCCGTCCGACTACGAAAATCTCTACGTTTGTATTTCTATTTTTACATCTCTAAGTAACCAAACTAATCACTTCTACGAAAATAAAAAGCGTCCTTATTCCGTACAACATTCTCAGAGATGTCCAAAGGAACATGTCTTGCCACAAATTTACCAAAGCAAAGCAAATATAAGAATACCCCAGGGAATGAAAACTGCAACAAAAAGCAATTTACAACACTGTAATTGCCTTCTTTACCTTCTATGCTATTACAGCCGGTAATGATCGGACGATGACTGCTGTTGGTCGGGGCCCGGCGGTTGTCACATCTGCTGTGTCATGTACGGGTGAGGTTGCTGGGCATACAAAGCAGGGTCGACAACCGGTTTCCCCATTATCATCCCCGGAGTCCCAACTTGGGGTGCATGCTGGGCAGGCATGTAGTATGGGAGTGCATCGGCAGGTGCTCCGACGGGCATTGCTCCTCGTGGAATTGATGCAAGAACTTCGTCTTTCAAATCCTCCCTGGGAACTATGTCGACTAAGAAATCGAATATGTCAGTCCTGGTAATCGCCGCCGCGATGTCGTTTTTCTGAAGCGTCCTCCTTTTGTTCTCTTCCGTGTGATTCCATGAACGCAATGTCAATTCCAAGATAAACATTTCACATGCCCTGGCGAAAATGACAGGGGCCTCGGCCGATATCATCCTCACGTCTTCGTCGGCTTTCATGATCTTCTTGATCCTGGCCAAGGGAAGACTATGGTTCTTGAAATCCGTAACTTTCTCGACTTCTTGATACTGGTTCGCCCAAAATGTCTGAAGTTGCTGTTGCTGCTGCTGATGGATTTGCTGATAAGCAAGTTGTTGTTGTGCAAGTTGAGCTCCAGTTGGCTGATTGGTCGGTTGAATGCCTCCGACCGACCCAGGATTCGGGGCACCAGTCACTTGGTTTTGATAGGGGGCAGCGCCATACGCCATTTGAGCTCCGCTTCCAACAATCCCCATCGCTGGGGGCTGTCCATGCCCTTGGTGATCCATTCTAACCTGCAATCACTAAAACATAAACAAATCTACTCGAAATAAAACACAAAAAATCGCAGCAAGAAACTCTGATTAGGCATTACATGTTTCATTGTGAACAAGGAAAACCAGAAAGTTAAGAACACTCGTAATTTCTACTCGAATTTGAACCAAATTTCATTCGAATGTACAAATATATCATCCATTATTTCCAAAAACAAATTCCTCTAGTATCTTCCTATGAAAGATCAAGTTCCATTAGTGATTCAAATCAACACCTACTTAACCTAATTGGCACATAAATTACCAGTTCTTCCATAAATAACATAACACGAACACAAAATTTGTTCATTCAATTTTGCATTCAGAAACTACAGGCTGATAATTTTTAGCCAAATCAAGCAAAGCCAATACATTTACAGCAATTAAGAACAGAAGAAAAACCATTAAGAGTGAAGATCATTCAAGCAACATCTCATAGACCAACCCAGATACGTATACGCTTGTGTATATCAATACGTATAAAAAGAAGGTATACAAAAAGCTTATACCTTGTGGAGGAAAAGGTTGAACCTTTGAGGTGAAGATTGAGAACAGCCTGAGACAAATTAAAAAGAAAAGATGTCAAAAAAGAGCAGAGAAGCATCAAAGATCAAAAGGGTAAAATTGGGTAAAACTGTTCCCAAAGAAATTTTATCCGTAGGCTGAGAAAAGATCCGATTTTGGAAACAAATTTTTAGGGTTGAGAGAAAGAGCATTGAAAAAAGTTGGTATTTTTAGACTTGTTTTGTGTTGGACTTTGTCGTACAAGAACCAACCTAAGATTGGAAACAATTCGTGTTGGTGTTTTTACAGACTTCTTTTTACTGTTCGACTTTGACCTTATAATGTCATAAACCTACTTCTTATACGGTCTTCCCCATTCTTTTTCGTGTTTTCTTTTCCATTTTTGGAAATTATCCTTTTCTTTAGTACTAAACTGAATTTTTTTTATATTGATTTAGTTTTTTTTTTGAAAATATTGATTTCGTAATTAAATATTAAAAAATGTTAATTTTATCATTAGAATTTTTATTGTATCAAACCGTTAAATCATTAATAACACGATAGTTCTTTTATGTTTATGTGCATAAGGATGTCAACTTATTTAATCATTAATATTAATTAATCATTGTTCGTTATTGATCGGCTTTTACAAAAAGATTAATGTTAAAATGTTTGAATTTCACTTATATTTTTTCTTCTTTGAATTATTTTTTTACGAAATTCACTTATAATTTAATTAAAAATTATTTAAAAGTTTGATATTCTAATGTTTTAATCTCTTCTCACACTAAATTGATAATGCTAGTTTCGAGGTATATAATTCATATTTTTTAAAAAAATAGTTTTCAATCATTTAGATTATCAAACAAATATCTCAAACTCTTCTAATTTGAAAAAGCCTTCAAATTCCCCTCAAAATAATAAATTTTATTGGTGTTAAAGTGATCGTAAAAAAATATTTTTTTTGAATGAAAGGGAATAAAGAATAGAAGCAACAACGCATCCGTGCATGCAAGCAGGGCACTCACACAGCAGCGAAATTAGACAGCAGGAGCAGCGTTCATTGCAATCACCTCACTCATTGCTCGAGTGTCGTTGATCACTGGCCACCAAAATATCAATGCCTAACAAGTATACCAACAAGTATATTTGCTCATAAAGTTAGTGTTATTTTTTCCGTAGCAACTGTAAGTGTGGAAAGAGCATTTTTTAAGATGAATATGGTAAAAGAATAGGTTGCGAAATAACATAGGTGACCAATTTTTAAATGATTGTTTGGTCAATTATATAAAAAGATATAATAAGTATACGTTCATGAAACGATTTCAAGAAATAAAAGCTCATCGAAAACAATTGTGATTGTTTTCAGTAATAGTAATTTTTTTTTTTTGTACTTTTTAATGAGTTGTTATTTTGTATTGTGGACTATGTATCTTTTTTCATTAATAAATATTATAATATTTATTTTGAACTTCTATTTTTGAATTTATAGATCCGTCATTGTCAGACATATATTGGGGTATCGTTCCACATTTCTTAACAATTCGGCTAATGATCCAAAGCAGATTTCGCACTCGAGGTAGCGAGAAGTTCTAAGGTGCGACAACCTTAATATACGGTTAACAATTTTCAAAAATTAACGTTTAAAACAAGTTCTGCTCTACACACCTCATTATGAAAATACGCACTCCGAACTGAGAACTTCCGATGTTCATCCCACCACCAAATTGGGGAATCAACACCCTATTATCACCGTTCAAAACTAGTTTAACTTCATGGTAGAGTGATTTGTTTCTCGTATAAAAGCTAAAAAAAAATTAACGACAATTGAAAATGGATAAAATAAACCCTAATTAACTGAAAATAAAAAGTAAATAAAATAAATTATTTTTACTTTCATTTTAGCACCAATCTGCAGTTCAGTAAAAAAAAAAGTCTGTCAAAACTTTAACGGTAAAGTTAAAGCCTTTTAAACCTCACTGTCAAATTAATACGAAGTCTAAACTTTAGTGATAATAATAACAAGTGATTTTATTAGTTAAAGAATTATTGTTGTCTTTTAAGGTAACACATCTGTAAAAGTGTATGAACATTTAATATTAAATAATTGAGAGTCTTTCAAATAGATATTATTTTTATAATTATTCTAATTTAACCAAAAAAATAGTGACTAACCATATAATTTACCCATTTTTTAGAGGAAGAACCAACAAGATGAGACTTTACTATAGATAGGGATGACAATTTAATATAAAACTGACGATTCTGACTTATCCCGATTTAATTGGGTAATATTTTAAAAAAAAGTAAGTTCGAGTCAAGTTGGTCAGATTTTTTAAGAGGAATTTTCGTTAAAAAATTTATTATTTCTTTAATTAATTTTTATTTTATACTGGATCTAGTTAGATTTATATTCTAAAAATTCAGATCGGGTCAAAATTGAATAGAAAATAGAGAAAATAACTTCAGTGACTGAAAATGCCTTATAATATACGATTTTAACCAACTTTTTTTGGATTTGCGAAAATGACCAACAAATTCGCAACGCGAACTCCAACTTCGCAATACAAGTTCCAAAATCACAACGCGATTTTCCAAAATCGCAACGCGAATAGGTAAATCGCAACGCGAATAGATAAATCGCAACGATAATATGTAAATCGCAACTCGAATTTAAATATGAAAAATTTAATAATAATACAAAAATTTCAAAATAAAAATAATTAAAAAAACTAACCCTCGGTGGTTGATTTTTCATTTGTGACCGTGAATGGTTGTGAGGGTGGCTCTGAGAGATGGAGATAGAGGGGGGTCGCCGGATATGTGGACGGATTTTGCGAGAGATGGGGACGGAAGAGTGAGAGATGAAGATGAGACTAAGTTGTGATTTAGGGTTTTAGGTTATGATTTGTGATTATACTGTTTACATTTGTGTTGCGAAATTAATATTGTGTTTCGAATTCGAAAATAAAATTCGCGTTGTGAAAATAAACGTTTTTTGCGAATTTGACTTCTGTGTTGCGAATTTGACTTATGTGTTGCGATTTACAAATTCGCGTTGCAATTTACATATTCGCGTTGCGATTTACATATTATCATTGCGATTTACATATTCGAGTTGTGATTTTGGAACCTGTATTACGAAATTGAAGTTCGCGTTGCGAATTTGTTAGTCATTTTCTTAAATCCAAAAAAAGTTGGTTAAAATCATATATTATAAGGCATTTTCGGTCACTGGAGTTATTTTCTCTAAAAAATATATATTTTTTCAAATCAAATCAAATAGATAATATATGATTTCGGATCGGATCGACTAAAAACTCAACCCTAACCTGACCGTTGACATTCCTAACTGTAAACCAAACCATGAATTCTGACGAAAAATCCAACCAAGAACATGCAAGAAAAACAGAAGGTGGGGATTTTCATTAATGAAACCAGTACGCATCTACTGAGTACAAATACATCACTGTATGCTCAGACTAATTACCTTTTACACAGAAATTATTCTGATTTGTATAATATTCCAATTTGCTCTAAACAAAACGTTGATTATAATAGTTGAGGATCTAACAGATATGAAGACTACAATTATATCTAAAATTTGCAGGCAATTCCTTGTATCCATCCTCCTTTGACACCATGCATGTATATATATACTAATCCAACACCTCGTCTTTGAAGTTCATCGGTTGTGTTCATCGCATATATGAATCGAATGCCTTGAGCTTAAAGGATCAAACCGATCACCCGGAAAACTTAGCGATGATCAAGCTAACTAGTGTGAAAACAATATAAAGGCAGACGAGGCATAATCCCCAAAACCTCGGTACCCGGAATCTCGACCAAGTTATGACCAGTAGAGATCCCATCAAGCTCAAAAGCAAGAAGACGAATGCAATGATAATACCAATGTGAAAACTAAGCTTATAGGCTTCAGGATAAACGTCGGCCGTTTGCAATACCAGAGCCGATCCTAGCCCAACGAGCATGTTAAACATTGGTCCCGCGAAGCATCCAGCCATAGCCATTGCCGGATGGCCAGCTTTGGCAACCGCAACGTCGGCTACAAGATCTCCCACAGAGTTTCCCCATGCAAGTACTGTGAGCCCGAGGAGTGCCGGAGGCAATTCTAGAAGTGATCCAAGGGCTGCCAAGCAGTTCAGCAATTCCCCAGCAACAGTAGATATCCAGAACACGCTCATTACGAAAGCTATAATCACCACAGGGATTTGCTCGTTCTTCGGAGGTTCTTTTTCCAATATGAAGTGAAGGACAGCAAGAGAGAAGCTTGAAAATAGTACAACAAACCAAAGAGGGAAAGGGGTGTTAGCAAGGAGGAACACGATGGGGTGGTCGAATGGCATGTACGAGTTGCAAACATATAATAGGGCTAGAGGGCAAAGGGCAATATTAGCCGACAGGTAGAATCTATTCCATTCCGAAGGGGAAGTTTGCGGAATCGTGAGCTTGAGAAGAAAAGAGATAGGAACCTCCCATGCCTTTGAGACCTGCATAGAAGACATAATACATAACATTAGGCACGAAGCTAGTAGAAGTTTATGACTTACTAAGCAAAAGAACATAATTGAGGTGAACAACAGACTCCCGTAACACGTATCCTAAATCGAGAAATGTCATGAGCCTATCCTTTTTTCTAGCTCCTGCAATGTGTATAGGTTCGTATTTCGGGGTGTCTCAGGTTAGTTTCATTCTTACAGATAAAAGCAATTACATCAAAGGAAGAATGAATTTCAACAACATGCAAACTGCAGGATACTTTAAGATTCATCTAACACTCTCCATAGACTAGAAAATATTGAAAAGGAAGGCTCAACCAATACTTTCTCCACTTTTAACTTTCATGTTCATACTTCATAGCATCCAACAAGCACATTCTTCAATTTACAACAAATGAACCTGGAAAATTTAGCTCAGCTTAAATATTCCAATCCCATTTCTAGTCATCCATCTCGAGCAATAGATGAGTTTCATATAAGCATTTAAGCATTTAGAAGCCAACAGCATCAAGATTCAGTCACTAGCAACACTTATCACCAAGGATGTAAATGGCGGTCTGCAATCAGAATAGTGGCCATTATATAACAGTAAAGATGCCTAACCGCTATACCAACAATAGAGATAACACAAATACGTAACTGCAATTTAATTTAGCACCTACAGTCAAAATAGCCTCAACAAATACTTCTATCTACCAATGCTCTTCCACTCAATCAATCTATCAATCAAAAATTCAAAATATTCATACTCAACACTAAAACAAAAGAATCATAACATAAAAGGTTTTCTGGTACTATATTCTTGAAACTTACCATTTCATATACTCCTGCAATTTCTGAAGCCTTCTTCTCTACATTCATACCCCTCTCAAGATCGAAATTTTTATCAAGCAAATGGTGATCTTCAGTCACAATTTCCTTCTCCAAAACAGGCTTTTCCTCCTCTTTCCCGGTCCCAAAATCCATCCAGAACACAAACCCAACAAAAAACACATAAAACGCAACGAAACCAACAGCTTGCCACACAAAAATCTCGCCACTCAGGTACACATAGAACAAGAACAGTGCCCCAGTGAGATAAAACAACACATCCCTTATGAAAGGCGCCGGCTTTACCCCAAAGGGGGCCGCATAGATAGCGACGAAACCCACCACGAAGGCGGAGACAAACGTCCCGGCCGACAGAATCGCGCCGAACCCAGTCCTGTAATGACCCGTACGAACGGCGTGGAGGGAGGCAAACACATCGGGGGCACCATTTCCGAGGGCCAAAAGAGTGACGGCGGCCATGGAAGGGGACAAGTTGAGGAGAGAAGAGAGCTTCGTGGTGGCGACGGAGAAATGGGATTGTGCCGTTTTGATGAGAATGTAAAAGTCGAGGAGGAGGAGGAGAGAAAGGAAAGGGATTGACAGAAAAGAGTTGGCATTGAAAAGACAGTAATGGAGGTAAAGGTAGTCAATGAGGGCACTGTCGGAATCAGAAGAGTGTTGGGTATAACAAGAAGAAGTCGAAAAAAGCGATCTTTTGGGGATTAATGGGGGTTTTCGTGGAGCTTGGAGGAATAAGAAGAAGGAGAGAGACGAAAGGAGAATCAAGCAAAGAAGGCTGGATTTGAGTACAGAAGGGAATGAGAGGGCCATGCCATTAAGATCTAAACACAAAATGGAACTTTGGGTGTTTTGGGACACCCGATTTGTTAAAAGTTCCCAACTTTTAATTGATTGATGGGAATTTGATGGCTTTGCTTTGCAGTGTATAAGTTGTTGAACCAATGGAAATGAAGCTGAAAGGGTAATTCTTTGGAGATCTTAAGATTTTCAATAGCAGGTTCTCTCTTGGGTGTAAATGATGGATCATTTAGATCCTTTCTTTTTGGATCTTTCACCGTGTATCCTTCGAGTTAACAGCCAGTGTTCTTCCACTTTCTTTAACGCGTTTCTTGCCAGTTGATTCCTAGTGACGATTAGAATAAAAGGGTTCTAATAATATCTTTTATTTACAAAAAACAAAACCCAGATCAGATCATTAGATTCATAACAAGGCGTGTTCTTTGCTGAGCCATGCCAATATTTGCTTTCCGTTGTTTATTTTACCGGCCACCCTAAACCGGAATTGAATATAAATGCTTAGGGGTGTGAATAGACGTAACATTCTATCAATTATTTGCAAATTGTTTACGTAATGTTTGATCATGTTCGTGTAATAAATTAAATAAATAAATAAAAATAAAATTTTTATGTTTATATAATAAATAAATAAAATTAGCTGACCCTTATTCCCATATATAATGGGGTAAGAGGGGGTAAGATAGTAGGATGCCCCCAACGCCAGGTTGAGAACAGCTTCCGTGGGAGACATCCATATATGAAATGCCCTCCGTGGGACTCGATCCCACGACCTCAAAGTTAAGAACCTTGTGCTCTACCAATTTAGCAAGATGGTCATTTCCTATTATATAATAAATAAATGAACACAAATAAATGTTTGTTCGGTTGTTAATATTAACAAACAAAATTGTTTATAAACTCGTTTATAAATTTATTTATTGGCACATTTATTGACACATTTATAAGTTTTTTTATTTAATTTTTCTTTTATTTTTTATATTTTAAATATTGGTGAATGTATGGACTAAATTGAATATGGAGTGAATTTTGGAATTCAAACTGTAAATATTAAGGAACTTGAGGACTAATAGAGTAATTGTATCATTTTTAGCTTACAAATAAAAGGATAAATTGAGTTGGTTGTCCAACATTAATCGAATATGTTCGCGAATGTTAAACGAACACATTCATGAACGCTACATGAGCGTTACAAACACCTTCAAATAAAAATAAACGAACATGAGTATGATACTGAAAATTTAAACAAACACAAACCGAACATGAATCTTCAAAAATAAACTAAGGAATACAAACACAACTTTATTTATTCAAATTCGATTCATTTATACCCCTAAATAACATTTTTCAAGCTCTTTCGGAAGGTTTTGGACCTTTGAGTGATGGCTCAAAGCTAAAGGGGAGCCTAACAACTAGGCTCAAACCCACGGTTCAAAGGGTTTTGATATACGATGATTGAATCCAATTTCTTTTGGTATACCAAGAAGGCCCAATATTTTACTAATCGCTACGACATGGCGCTCATGGAGCACTAGATCGATATTAATGACCCTCGGTCCGACCCTGCTTCTTTTGTTTACTTGTTGAGTTGAAACAAACCCCAAATTATCGCACCGGTGTTACCAGGGCGATGCCTGAGAGTTCTGGTGTAAGGATTGACTGTACTGAGCTTTGTGCCTCCGATGCCTCGTTTATCAATCAATAACAGCTTTGCGTTTTACGAAACATCCTACTACTCTCCTAGTGGACTAATGATCAGTGGAGTGTAGCTTAAAAGGCGTGAAGTATCTACCAGGATGCGTATAATAAGATCTATTCCCAAAGAAAACATTGGGAGCACAAGTGAACCAGAACCGAGGTATCATAACAAGGGGACCGGGGTTAGACCCTCTAGTTGAATGAATTTGCAGAACATCTTGTGCAAGCGCACCCATGGCAGTTAGGCCCATCACAGGGTTCACCGACATGAGCCCACATGTGTTGTTGTGGCACCCTGGTCTGACCTTGGAGGAGCGATTGTGGTAATAGTGAGCATTGGCTCTAGCACATCGAGTCGAACGGCATCGAGGGGTCTAGTGATGAAAGGTAGTTTTCTTCACAAGTAATCCATAATAACCACAACAAACGGGATTTGCAATAGTAAAGTGCTTTAAAAAAATGTTGGCAACATAGAGACTGGTCTTGATATATCTGTGCACTGGCAAAACGAACCCTTTGGCCTTCAAAGTTGTTCAATATTCTGATGGAATGGCGTTACACAAGATCGAGAGAAAGCTGATAAGAAGCCACTAATGAAAGAAAAATGCTCAGGGCCAAGGAGATCAAACGTAAATTCAGTTATTTTTAGGCAAATTAGTTCTAAAAACCATTGTTCCTGTTCATGCGAAAGTTTAGGCTTCATTTGCAAATAGCAGCCTGAAAATGAGTGCAGGTTCACATGCTAAACCTACCTTTGCCTGGAATTAGATGTCCTTGTTGTGTGTAAACAAATAGTTGAAATATTGCAATCATAGGAGAAAATTTTTTAGTCATAAAGCAGAAGAGAAAAATGGAGCCTGATGGGGATTGATGCCAGACATGTTTTTACAATTGAAACCAACAATTCACAAAGAAATACATTTGGGTCCACCTTTTGAGAAAAAGCAACCAAAGAACTATATATATTCATCAATCATCATATATCCCTCAAACTTCAGGTACATTGTTCTTCTACTACATAGTGGCCTCACTCCATATGGCTTCAAATAGAGTTTGGGGGACTTTGACTAAAGGGAAAACTAAAAATTTCCCTTGCAAACTTTTGTAAAATACCAAAACCATCGCTAGTATGGGGAAAATTTCACATGACACTGCAGCTGTTTGCATTTTCATCACTGAAGTAATGAGCATAAGATTCAGAGTGTGGTGGATGCATTGGGGGAGTACCATAGCTTGGTTGGGGGTATGGTTGAGCATACATCATTGGCTGATACATCCCCCCATTTGCTCTCTGTTGATTCATCATCATGGCCATATATTGATGCTGGTTATAGGGATTCCCTGGCCCCATCCCTTGATAATACCCACCACCATTATTCATTGCTGCTGCTGCTGGTGCTGGTAGTCCTGGTACTGCTGCAAAATTACCCATCTGGTTCATTGGGTAGTTTCCCATTTGGCCCATGTTAAAACCCATTTGCCCCGTATTCTTTCCTCTACCGCCGCCTCCATGTACGAAACTGGCAGCACCACCGCCACCCCCACCTCCTTTGACATGATTAAAAACATCAATGTCTTGAAACCCACCACTCTAGATTTTGTTCATGATGTCAATATGGGGACCCCCACCACCACCATTTTGCCCCCACCTTTTTAGCTCCATTGCCATTATTGTTCCCACCACCACCACCATGGCCTCCTTTTCCATTATGAGAAGAGCCTTTGTTATTAACATAATCATCATCATCCCATTCAATTTTACCCTTTTTACTATGAGCACTTGAATCTTTTCCACCTTTATCCTTCTTGAAAAACCCAAGTAAACCTCCTTCACCCCCTTTTTTACCACCATGTTTATCTACTTTCCCTCCTCCTTTGCTGTTCTTTTCACCTCCTTTCTTTCCTCCATTACCATGCTTCCCTTCTTTTTTGTTCTCCCCCATGCCTTTCATCACCATAGGAATGTCAGTAGCTACCCCTTTCCTTCCATTATCCACAACACCACCACCACCTCCTTTTTTACCATTCATGGCATGGCTATTCATCACACCATTTGGCCCCCCATGGCCTTTTCCCATCATAGCCACCATCTTGTTTTGCATTTGCCCATGACCATGTCCGTGACCAAATTCCTCATCATCAAACTCATCATCATCGAACTCATCATCAAATTCATCATCGAACTCATCGTCAAACTCATCATCGAAATCACCATCACTTCCATCATCGTCAGGCAAGTGAAACTCGACAGATTTCTGGTCTTTGGGAGGGTTAAACCCTTTCATCATTTGCTGCATATGTTGTGGTAGCACAAATTGCTGCCCACCTTTCTGCTGGTTATTTCCTCCTCCGCCGCCGCCGCCACCACCCTTTTGAGACTTGTTGTCCTTCCCACCTTTGCCAGCATCCATATTCATGTTGTTGAACTGGTTTGGGAAATTATTAGAACCTCCCTTTTGAGCCCCACCCCACAGCTGAGCATGTTTCCCAGATTTCTTCAGCTTCTTGATGAGCACAGCCGGATCGACATTACCAGTCACTGTTACCTTCCCTTGATCTACATTTATGCTGCAGGTATACACCCCTAACCAAAAAAAAAACTCTAGCATGAACCAAAGGACCTCATGGTTAAAAGCATAATGTTATTTTTAGAGGTCTCGGGATCGAAGACGACATGTTTAAGTATTCATTGTAAAATAATTTAGAGTCGAACAAATATTACTATTATAATTCATCCCAGACTAATCACACAAAAATATCTAGCTAAAATATGAACACGCGCATATATGTATAAATACCATCAATTTTCTGCTGAAGCTTCCTTATTTTCTGCTTACACCCATCACAGGTACACTGTATATTCACTTTGAGAACCCATGTCTGCAAACAAAGCAACAGAAACAGAGTTGAAAGTCAAATCAAAACGGCATCTTTGAGGGGGGGAAAGTTGCACAGGTGAACTAATTCAAGCTAACAGTACCTGCATCTTCATGACATCTTGTTTATTCATCCCTTAAACAACAAAGGGTGTGAAAATAAAAGATATAAAAATTGAAACTTTTGGAAAGCCCTTTCGCTAAAAGGTTTTAAGAAAGCAAGGAGTGGCTAAAAGCGGTTGATGGGGCATTAAAATGCTGCTCTTTTAGCTTTCCTTCATAGAAGAAATGGAGTGAGAGGAGACAGTCGCAGAAGAGGCAAAGTATCATGAAGATTTAAATATAGAAAAATAAGTGAATAAATAATGAAAAACAGCTAGCTTGGTCCAGGGACTGTGATAGTGTTAGCTAACGTAGATCAGTTGCCTTGGCTTTATACTATTTGAAGCTTCCTCCAAGTGATTTACAGCAAATTTTGTTTTTTAAATTAAAATTATATATATTTTTAATTAGTGTGGAACTCTTGGGGTTTTACACTTTTAAATGGTTGTATTGAAGTTAATAATTCGTCTCTAATATATTTACAATATTAGGTATTTTTAAAATATAAACATAAAATAAATTGTTAAATTATATGTTAGATTAATTATCTAAACTTATTATTAATTAATTTTAATTTACTAAATTTCCGTGTAGCTTTAATTCTAGGGAAAAAAGTACATTATTACTTTAATTGACTACAAATTTTTAGGGGTGGATAAAATATAATTTTACAATGGTACTAATTTAAAATATTATTGTTTTTTAAGGGATTAGAAGACAACTTTTGCAATTTTAGAGGAAAGGCGATAATTAATAGTGCTATCGATTTAGACCTATTAATAACATCATAAAATATAGAGATCAAACTATAAAAAAATAGTTGCTGGGTGGAAGTGTGAATTTAATCAAGGTTTCTTCGAATTGTCAGAAAAAAGGTAATTCTAACATAATTGAGGGATTAAAACCAAAATTAAACCCATTTAATTGTACTATGTGGATATCATATTTTCTAATAGTGAAGATAAGCCATAAGAAGACCAAGGTGAAGCTCTGCAAGTTCACACTTGTTTGGATTTTGGTCGGTCTGGTCTAATCTGGTCTGGTCTTGTTTGGCCTATTAGCATCACAGTAGGTTAAGACTTCGGTGGTTTGACTCATGAGCCAACTTGAATATAATTCCACATGCTGTTTTAGTGTTTATTATTATTATTATTATTGAACTGGAATGGTTAAGCATATATTTCAATAGTTTACATAGTTTGGGCTTTGGATCTAGGAACATGCAAAGAAAATTAAATAATTAAATAAATTAAATTAAGTAGAACCATTCATTATAATGGACAACGAAATGAAATATATTTGAACAAATATAAAAATAAAATCCAGATAAGATTCCTATATTATATTCATTTCATAATGACATTTAAATATGCATATTTAAAATCTTGCTTTTATTCATATTGTAACACCCTTAGAGTATGGTGATCCGATTTGATCCGATGTGTCACATTAAGGTTACTGGAGCAACACACAGTAAAAATCCAGGAAAAATTAAAATTTTTGTTAAAATGTGTAAAACGATAAAACAATTTATAGATAAGATACAAGTTCAGAAAATTGTTTATATATTACAAACAGAATTAAAATCATACAAGTTTCAGACTCAGTATAAAAATTAGATGTGACCTACATGCCCCTTATTTATACTTGTGTCATACTCTGCAAGCAAAGCCGAATGAACTCCCAATACTGAGGTCAACAGTTGTATTGGATCTAAATGTCTGAAATGTCCCTGATTGCCTAAATAGATCAAAACAAAAAGGATTTACCAGTTAGTTGAATCTTAGAGTCTCTAGACACCTACCCAGACAGTGCCCCAATAAAATATATCAGATGGCAGAAAATAATATTAGAAATCATGAGCTAATTGTACATCGTGTCAGAAATCAGAAATCATATATTAGAAATCTTACTTTATATAAATCAAATAAAACATTTTTGTCAATGGGGAACACAATAGAGGATCCAGATATTTTTCGAATGTGCTTGGAAATTATCAGGAATAGAAAATATGAATTTACTCAAAATTGATCGGATTTCAGGATCGAGATCCCTATTAAAATGGTTTAATTGCTAACGGATCTAAACAGACATTTATAGTTTGATGCTTCAGGACCATTTAGGATTTCAAGTGTATCATAAAGGTATTCATGAACCTTACGTCAGAATAATTTAAGATTCAAATATAACCAGAGTGATTTCATTATTTAGGCAATCTGTAACACCCCCAACCCGTACCCGACCCGAATACGAATTCGAGGTGCCACATTGACTTTCAAACTTTGACTCTTGACAAAATTCAAAGAAAATTTAAACTTTAATTAAAGTAAAAGCAGCTTATTTACATAACTTGACCATAATAACTAAAATTAATCAGAGCATATTAACTCAATCCTTTAGTACATGCCAATTATATTCAAAATAACCAAAATCATTTAAATCATCTATTTTCTGATCTGAAATTTATAAGGGAGATGCTGACCTGTCTTGCTCTCTTAGCTTTTCTTCTAGCTTTCCGGAACCTACGTGTGAAACACTCACACGCTAAGTCGATGACTTAGTGAGGCAAATAAAACTTATAATGCACTTAATAACATTTAACAATGCATGCATGTTTCATTATATCCTGTTATACTAAATCACCTTATTTCATCATAGCATACAAAATCATATCAGATTACTTAACAAATTATACCTACATACACATAAAGCATCATTAACAGTTTATATTTTAATCACATACTTTTAATCACATACTTTTATACTTAAACCCCTTAATCAAACAATATACACACACAACATCATATCATTTCTACAACATTTATCATATCACAAACATATATTTGTTGTTATTATCTCATGATTAGCCCATGGACATATGTGAGAACTATAGGTATGTGAGTCTATAAAGGTTATGCACTAATGTTGTCACCACAGCTCGTATAATTGCACCGACGTAGAATTTGCACCGTAGTGCCATATAAGATTGTCCATAAGGACCACATATAAATTCCTTAAGAACCATATACATATACCAAGGATCAAGTAAGTGTCTCAAAAGACCTCATACATGCTCCAAAGAATACATATACGTCTCGAATGACCACGTAGAAAATTCCTTAAGAATCATATACATATGCTAATGACCAAATATGTGTCGCAAAGGACCTCATAGATGTTCCATAATATACCTATATGTCCCGAAGGACCGCGTAGACCCTCGACTCTTGGCATGCCAACTATACCCCAAAGCTCTCAAGACACATAACATGGGCACTATCTTTTATATCCTTGCACATATTCATGTAACATATCACATATTCATATAAGCTCGTAGCTTCATTCACACATACATGAAATCACGTAGTTCATATCAATTCGCATATAATTTCATATTCATATAATCACGTAATTCACTTACACATAGCACATTTTCATGTAATTCACAGATATCCATTAGCTTATATCTCTTGATCATTTAATCACAATTTCTTATCACATATCTCATAGTCATGTTTTCATATATTCATTTCATCACACATGCTCATAGTTTCTAGTCATATTATTCACATTCTCTGACTTATCTCTTATGATCTGGTAATCACTACACTTATTTCATATAACTTATTACCAAATAATTCACATATAAACACCTAGATCACTTTCACATAGCTTATATAAGTTTCATGAATCCTTTCATATTACCTGCTAACATATATCATATAGGTATATAATAACTTATCTCATTTCGTCTACTTTATGCTTTATTTCCTTGTATTCTCTTAGATTATATAACTTATGTCGTATATCTAACATATATATTACACTTAATCGTATTTTATTTATATACTACTTTAATCTATTTAATTAATTCAATTTCATATATTCCTTATAACCTTTTCATATAACTCCATAGATCTTTAGCATATAATTTATCCTATATATATGCATATCATCGCTTTATATTCAAGTTCCCTAATTGATATATTATTCCCATTCCATTCTATAATTCAATCTTATTTAGTTTCCTCAATTCTCATTAAATCAAATAACTCTATTTTACTAATTCTCATAACCATGTATTCACATAGTCTTATATTTCATTATCTTATTACTTATATTTATTCTCATATGATTCTTCATAAACCTCTATTTCCATTTCCCTACATCTCTTGACTTATCTTTTATATTCATATAATTTCATAACTTATTTGATATTCTCTCATTAACACTTAATAGTGTGTACATAAACCACATAGCACATACAAAACATATCAATTCATATAATCAAGCATACATACACTCATATTCAACTCATGCCTTTAATCATGAATTCATATGTAACTCTTCAGGAAATAGACTCATCGCAAGTCTTCTTCCCATCACCCATCATATACTATTGAATATGCACTCACCTAGCCTCACTAGTCAATTCCAATCTCTTATCTTTCCCTTTGATCGATCTTACTTGACAATGATTCTGGAACTCATTCAGGTTCTGAATCTACATAATTATACATTTTCAAGACAATTATTAGATACCTACATCTTGTAATTCGATACTAACAACTTAAATGAACTTAATAAACTAATATTCATTTCTTCCTTTAGGGGGGAATCGGTTCCCTCCTGTGGGGGTATCGGTTCCCCCATGACATTCTGTAAATTCTGGTTCGTTTGAGGGGGTATCGGTTCCCCTTGAATGGGTACCGATTCCCCTAGCCCATAAATCACATTTTGAGCTCGAAAATCACTTCATTTTCAGTTCCACACTTCCTATTTCACTTCCTTTAATATTCTTAACTCAAATATACATACTTAAACTAATAACTTTTCATTCAATATCTCTTTAACTTAAAAATCCACTCCTCCACATAGCATTCAAGAATCATACCAATTTTTCCATGTTACCCAAACTTAATTCTAACACTTCTAGCTTCTTATTCTCATAGATGACAAGTCAAATTCAACTTACAATTTGAGTAATGAACTCTATTCCAAAATTTCATTCAAAAACTCTTAATATTTAATCTCTCTTAATTCCATCATCCTTTGTTTTTAAGATGATTTAAGCTTTCCTTAAGCTTAACTATCATCCAATGATCATAACCAAATCCTAAATTCAGCTAAATATCAACTAACAAGAGATCTTACCTTTGCTTATGGCTTCACGGTAGAAAAGAAGAGAATGAAGAAGAGA